GGATGCTTGTGGTGGGTTGCGGTCCGGTGGTGAACGTGCAGTGTGGGTCACGGTGTAGCCGTGGGTGGGGTCTGTGGTCTCCCTGGCTGCGGGGGGGATGGGGGGTTTGCGCCGGCTGGCATCTCTCCTGTGCAGCGCATTACTTGGCTGTTGTGTGCCGCTAGTTAGATTGGTAGCGGGGTAGTGTTGGTTGGCTCACCTGTAGGTCGTTATTGGCTTGCGTGCTTGTCGGGGGTTGGGGGCATCAGGTGTGGGCCTGGACTGGGCTGGTGTGCGGCTCTGTCCTGTGTGCATGCTGTGCATCCTGATAATTGCATTTCGGTTCTCTGAGGGGTCTGGCGAATGGTTGTTGGAGGGGTGGGGGACCGGGAAGAAGGGGTTGACGGGGTGGGTTGGGGGTACGGGCTGGTCCTTTTTGAGCTGGTTGGGGGGTGTCTCCTCTGGATTTTAGTGCCCAGACTGGATGCTTGGTGGTTGTGCGGGGATCCTGTGTGTGGAGGGATTGTGCTTTGTGCATTGTGGGGGAACGGTGAGGTGGGGGGGGGTGGCAGTGGGGCTGCCGGAGGGGCCCCGGTGAGGATGGGGGGATGGTTGGACTTTGGGTTGGGGCTGCACTGACCTGCCTCGGGGGTGTGTGGGGGTCTGGGGATGGGCAGGGTTGTCGCTGACTCTGGGGTGCTGCCGGTGCTAGAGGAGCTCTTGCTATAAGCCCTGGGCTGGAGGGACCTGGCATGGGGGATGTCAGCTGGCGTCGGCGGCCTTAGTTTTTATTGGGGGGTGCACGGTGACCTGTGCGGCGCGTTTGCTGCCGGGCTGGGACTTGCTGCTGGTGTTTCTCTCCGCTGGCTTTCGCTGTTGTGTTGTTGCGTTTGCTCTCTCTCGTTTGCCTGACCTCGCACGCGGGTTTCGCAGGGGGCTGCTGGGCATTGGGTGTCGCCGTGCTCGCACAGTGTGCACGTTGGGCTCGTCACTTGTGCATTGGTGTTGATGATTGCGTGGCATTTGGGCATTTTGGTTGTTCGCTGCACGGCAGTGGGGTGCTGGGTGGTGGGGAGCACTGGTCTATGTTGTGTGCGCGCTGCGGTCGATCCGGGCGCTGCTCTTCCGCGGGTTACGCTTTTTGCGTTCCATCGGCATTATGTTGTCAACTGGCATTTGGGTCGGGGTCTTCCGCGTTTGCATTGCGGCGCATCTGGGAGTCTTTGTTTTTTTTTGATTGATTTATTCTTTTTCTTTCTCCCACCCCTATTGGCTACTGGGGTTCTTGCCTGCCTGTTGCTGGGGTAGGTGTGGCACAGTCGTGGCATCCCACTCTCACTAACAACTACATTCTTTAACAGGCTTTAACAGACACATTCACCCACACGCACACAGACACAATCAGTCTCACACATAGACACAAACAAATTTAGGTTGTCCCTGGTAGAATTATTCCTGATGCTTTTCTTTCAGTTACTTATTTAATTAATTATTATTCCAGCTCTCGTGGCTGTGCTGTGTTGCTTATTTAGTATGCTGGACTGTTTCTTGTTTCATTTTTCTCTTAGCTGTCTTACTATGTCAGCTGTTCATTGCTGCTGTTCGGCTGGTTGTCTTTTACTATTATTATTATTTTTATTGTTTGTTTTTGTTTGTGTTTGTTTGTTGTTGTTTTTCTCCTCCCCAAGCCCCCCTCTCTTTTCTATTGCAGCTTTCTGCAATTGGTGTTTCCCACTGCTTTTCCCTGTTGTCCCCACCTTCCATCCCCCTTTCCCCCTTCTCTTACAGGTGTTGTCCTTTCTCTGTGCTGTCTGTTTGTGCCCCTCCATCCCCGTGTCTGCCCCCCTGTCATATTTTCATATTTCATATTTTCATATTTATTTATTTATTTCACACACACACACACACATCATCATTTTTAAGGACAAATTACAATGGTAACAGGAAGGTTATTGTGTGAAAAGGGGGAACCCCAAAGAAGCTATTAAAGCTTTTAAGAGGGGGCCCAATATCTACATACAACATATAACATTCAAGAAAAACTCACGCCATAAAAACAAATAAATATAAATACAACAAAACACAAGCGCTACAAACAAACAACCTGTCCGGCCCGGTGACAAATGAATACATAATTAAATAAATAATAAAACAGACAAAGGAGTATTTTAATACTCTCTTCTTAAAGTAAAATCTGTCTGGCACAATATGGTATCCAGGTCATCATACTCTATACCAGGCTGCTGGGCAGGACAGGTTTAAAAAAAAAGAAAAGAAAAAAAAAAAGAAAAAAGTACGCTGTGATGAATTTAACTCCTTTGAAGTTGTCACTCTTAAACTTGGAGGGCTGCAACCTATCATACTTCTTATAATTTATCGCCCCCCAAAACCGCCTGGAGGATTTTTATCAGAACTTCCTGAATTTTTATCTACTCTGGTTTTAAATTATGACAGAATTGTCCTTTGTGGCGATTTTAATATTCATGTTTATGACCCCACCAATGTTAATGCAACTGATTTTTTAAATATGGCCACTTCTTTTAACTTCAAACAACATGTCAAAGGGCAAACCCATAATCGTGGTCATACACTGGACTTGGTTTTTACCCTGGGTGTCAGCATTTCCTTTGTGGAATTAGTGGACATGACCATATCTGACCATAGATGTATTGTTTTTAGCTGCAATTCGCCTGTTACTCATGCCGCCTCACCAAGCTCTGTGTGTTCTCGCATCTTTAATGAACAAAGTGTTTCAAAGTTTTGCGCATTCTTTCAGAGCCAAAGCCAACATCTGTCTGATTCCAATACCAACAATCTGGTTGATCACTTCAATCATATCTGCTTGTCGTCACTAAATATTACTGCTCCTCTAAAGGTTAGGCCTATGTCTGAAGCTAGTAAGCAATCCTGGATAAATGACAGCATTCGCAGCCTAAAAAGGGAATGCAGGAAAGAAGAGCGCAGATGGAAAAAATCCAGTCTCCAAGTCCATCTCAGTCTGAAGGATTTATTAATTAACTACAATACCTACAAAGTTTTTACTGAAAGTAATGGATTCTGTTGGGCCCCATTTGATCTCTGTTTTTAACAGCTCCCTATCTACTGGTTGTGTCCCTGATTATTTTAAAACGGCTTGCGTGAACCCACTTTTAAAGAAACCTGGTTTAGATCCCTCCCTCCCACAAAATTTTAGACCAATTTCAAAACTGCCTTTTATTGCAAAGATTCTAGAAAGAATTGTGTCCAAACAACTGCTCACTGTACTGGAAAATAACAAATTATTTGAAAAGTTTCAGTCTGGTTTCAGGAAGTACCACAGCACTGAGACTGCCCTGCTTAAAGTCACCAATGACCTTTTAATGTCTGCTGATGAAGGTATGTGCTTAGTCCTGGTACTCATGGACCTTAGTGCTGCTTTTGACACCATTGATCACAACATCATGTTAGACAGACTGAGGCACTGGGTGGGGATCTCTGGTACGGCCCTAGAATGGTTTTCATCCTACCTGTCAAATAGGAAGTTTTGCGTGTCTGTAAACATGTCTCTTCATTCTGTCCAGTTAAATATGGTGTGCCTCAGGGGTCGTTCGTAGGACCCATTTTGTTTTCCTTGTATCTGCTTCCCCCTGGACATATTATCCATAAACATGGTATTTCTTTTCATATTTATGCTGATGACACACAAATGTACTTGCCCGTCAGATCCACAGACCCTGGAATGCTGAGTTCACTTACCGACTGCCTTTGTGAAGTCACAAAATGGATGTCAAATAATTTCCTCCAGCTGAACTCAGACAAAACAGAAATCCTGGTCATTGGGTCCCAGCAGATGGCAAAACAAATACTGCCATCTGCTGGTTCCCTAGTAAATCACATTAAGCCTGTTGCAAAGAACCTTGGTTTGATAGTAATTTAAATTTCATGCAGCACACCACAAAGCTTGTTCAATCATTTTTTTATCAACTTAGAAATATAGCAAAAATTAGATCTATGTTACTTAGGACACCGAGACCATTTTACACAACTTCATCTCATCACGCCTGGATTATTGCAACAGCCTTTTCACTTGTTTAACCCAAAAATCTACTGATCGACTCCAGACTGTCCAGAACTCAGCTGCCAGGCTTTTAACCAGAACAAAGAAATATGACCACATCACCCCTATTTTAGCTTCATTACACTGGCTCCCAGTATGTTTTAGAATTGACTTTAAAATTTTATTGATCACTTTTAAAGCTCTTCATGGCCTCTCGCCTTGTTATATTTCTGACCTTTTAGTCCCATACGCACCAGCACGTACCTTGAGATCCTCGGGCAGGGGTCTGTTGTCTGTTCCAGAGTTTCGACTGAAAACTGAAGGGGACAGAGCGTTTGCAGTCAGGGCCCCGAGGCTCTGGAATAACCTGCCCGAGTAAGTCAGGTCGGCTGAGTCAGTGAACTCTTTTAAGTCCCTTCTTAAAACATACTTTTATAGAAGAGCCTTTCCCAATCTTATTTTATCCCTTTTATTTTATTCTATTTTACTAATTTTATATTTATCTTAAATGTGTATTTTAGTCTTTTCAATGTTTTCTTGCTTTTATCTTGTATTGTTTTTGTTTTATAGTCTTTTGGGTATTATTGTCTTTACACTTGTTAAAGAACTTTGTAGCTTGTTTTTGAAAAGTGCTCTACAAATAAAGATTATTATTATTATTATTATTATTATTATAATTGAGTTGAAAATATTCAACTCATGCGAATTCCTTCGCGTCACTTCGCGTCGCCCGACAGGAAATCGCGGCTCTATGTGTTTTTGCATTGACTTTGTATGTAAACTCACCGCCCCGAACGCCCGCTTCACTTTTGGTCTGAAAGCACCATAAGACAATTCAGTGAATTAGCATCACTGAGTTTGAGCATAGGGAACGGTTAGCGTAAGCATCCAAAAAGTAAAGGACCACACATTTGAAGTGGAAGGCTACAGAAAATTGTAATGCGGCGAGAAAATTCAGTATTGTGTGTCCATGTCTGCTCCCTAGTTTGATGAAGGACAGTGTGGAGGCTCGCGGCGGCAGTAGCACCAGTCTGGTGTTGAACCCCGGCCGATTTGACTTTGAGGTGTCAGACTGCTTCTTGATGGGCTGTCCACTGGGCCTTGTGCTGGCCATGAGACGCACTGTGCTGCCTGCCGTCCAGGGTAAGAATCAGACACATGCAAAACACATCAGGGAATGAAATTCTTCATACATACACATTTACAGAAGTATCTGCAAATGTCTTTGTACACACAGACAAACAGCCTATTTTGTGTGTGCGTTAGTCTCCAGATGTTTTACTGTTTTGTTGTTATTCTATTATTATCTTCTTTTTAGCTTGTCAGTCAACTGTAAGGCATTTTGACTTGCACTGACCTGTATGAAAGATGCTAATCCAGTCAAGTTTCAGATTGATTGAAATGTGATATTGCTTGATAGTTTAATCATTTATATATATATTTTTGATGATGATTGGATCAGTTTCAACAGATTTTAAGATGGATCTTGCCCTTGCTCTCAAAACAAACAAGGTCCTCTGATGGCAAGCTCAGAATATTCTTCCACTCACAGAAACAGGCAGAAAACACAACTGAGCTGGTGATAAGGCCTATGTGGCAGAATAATAAAACAACAACAAACTGATGCCGTTTCCAAATTCTCTTCTGTCTAATATTACTCATGTGGCTCAGCCACTGAAAATCCTCTTCCTAATGGCTTTGTCTGTCCATTGCCTTTTCTTCCCCTCAGTGAGCCAGCTCCATCCAGCCTGCTCTCAGATTTTCAACCTGTTTTACCCTTCGGACCCTTCAGCCTCCAGACTAGAGCCGCTGCTTCAGCCTCTCTTTCACAAGTTGCCACCATTTGCTGTTCCCCGCTATCAGCGCTACCCTCTAGGAGATGGACGCTCAATGCTCATAGGTAGGACAAGTGATTTGAGCCTGGAAATCAATTTACCAGCGTGGGAAGGCAGCTCCTCCTGAATATTTCATTGGTTAATCTATTTTCTGGTGTAATTGTAATGCCATATTAATAACCTTTTGGATTTTGCATTTCAAAGCTGGTGTGAAACCTTTGAGGAATCCTGTTATTGGGACTAGATTACAGCAGCAGAAAGATTCTATGACTAAGTAATGTGAATTTTCACAGACACACATGCACAGAGACATGGATGCACACCTAAACCTCGATCCTATCTGTGGCAGCTTGCCATGCAGAGCTAAATCCTGCCCTCAAAGCCTGAAGTTTGAAGTAATTATACTTCATCTTCTTGTGGTGCAGTAACGTTACCCTGCCACTCCTCTCTGAGGATCGGGCACAGTATGTGAGATATTTGTCTGCTAGACATGGCACAGTACTGATGTAATCCCCCAGGAGGGCTTAGTTGTAGAGACTGAGTTCTTAATGAGCCACTGATTTATTTGAAGCATGTTTTAGCCCACTTTTGGGACATAGAGACTCCCTCTAAACAGCAGTTATGACGCATCGCCTGGTTCCCTTGCCTCTCCACCTACCTCACTGAGAGAAAGTAGGGCAAGGACTGATTGCTTGAGCTAACAGCCTGCGAGCATGAACCCAGAACAGAAAACTCTGTGCTTTGGTGCAAGGCTTAGAACAATTTAAAACACTTTACCTTAAAATGCAATCATTAGAAACATGTATATAACCCAAAGCAAATGATTAATTATGCTTATTCTTACCATTCGTAAGATCAGAACAGAAACAGATTATTTAAACATAGATGCTGCATATAGAACATTGGTTATTCATTTGACAAATTTGTTTGCCTGTTAAGAAAAGCTGGGAGCAAAGAGGAAAAATGCCCTTCATAGGATAAAAATTAGGCTTGTAGCAACTGTGGTTTCTTTTGCTCATCTTTCTTTTGTTCATCTTTTGCAATTTGGTGCACAATTTATTTGAAACTTTGAAAATAAATATAATTTAACCTTAAAAAATGTAGATGTTTATATACACTGAAGAAAATTATAAATGCAACACTTTTGTTTTTGCCCCCATTCATCATGAGCTGAACTCAAAGATGTAAGACTTTGAATGATGGGGCCAGTCAGGAATCTGGTTCCAGTGAGGAGGACCATTCTAGCCTCCCTATGACCTCCTTCACCTTCCCCCCTTTGGTCATGTCTTGCTACATACACCCTTAGGACTCTGGGGGGCGGGCAGGCTGCAGGGCATTTGGTGGGTGGGGCTGCTTTATTGCGGCCTCGCACTGGCCGCCCCTCAATTTTAATTACACATTAGACACCAAGGGCTTGGGGGGTGCGATGGGAGGCTCCACTAGTTGTGGGGTGCCTGTGTCACAACTACCCTCCAATTTTAACTGCACCTTAGTTACCACACACCTTATCTTTACTCCACCATACAACACTTCACAATCCATGACATGCATCCAACACAAAACAATACAGGCAGGCAGAGGGGTTGAAGGAGTTGGGGAGATTCTCATTGGCCTCGTGTTGGCGTCGGGGGTGCCGTGGGGTTGGTGACGGCCTTGCCTGATCTGGGGTGGGCTGGGGGGGGGCATGGCTCCCCTGGCGTGGGGGCCCGCTCTGGACCTAGGGATCTGGGGACTCAGGCTTCTGGCTTTTGCTCATTTCTAGGCGGGTGATGTGTCCCCCCTCTCTCACAGTGGGGGCATTTGGGAGTCTCTGGGGCACATGGCCGGTGTTGTCGGGGAAAGGTTTTGGTGCTCCTCCTTGGGGGTGCTTGACTGGGGGGGCTGGGCCCCCATCCGGGGATGAGATCGGCCTCGGGGGCTGCTGGCTCTGCCTGCACTTTGGGGAGGGATGCCTCTGGCTGGGCTGGGGGACTGTTGGCCTGGTTCTCCCGCGTTATCGCTCCCTGGCGGCGGGGAGCTTCCTGGTACGGCTTTCTGCTGTTCTTCCTTGGGGCAGGGTACAGCTTCCCCTGGGACATGCGGTCTGGGGTCCTTTGCACTTTGGGGGGTCGCGGGGTGCCCTGGCTTCTGGGGGTGGGGTCTCTGGGTTGCGGTTTGCAGGGCTGCGGTGGGATTGTGGGGCGATTGTCGATGCATCTTGATGCATTGTGCTTTTTCCCTGTGCAGGGTCTCTGGATGGCTGCTGGGTGTTTAGTTTGTGCATTGGAGTCCGGGGGAGGCATTTCCTCGTTGGCCTGGAGGGACCAGTTTGCGTCCCTGGTTTGCTTCGTTGGAGTTGTTGGACCCCTCTGGTTACTGAAGTATAAAGTTAGATTTCGGGATGTGCAGTGTGGGTGCGGGGCAGAGCTGTGCTCCGGTTTATTCTGGGCTTGTGCCTGGAGTTCTCAGCCCTTGACGGGTGGGTGGGTTGGTGGTGGGATGCAGCTGAGCTGGTTGATTTTGCCTCGTTGCTGGTGTTGCACGGCGACCTGGGGGCGTGCTGTGCATGGGGGATGTCGGGTGGCGCGGGCGGCCTTAGTTTTTTCCGGCGGTTGGGGGGACGGCGGACTTTTATTGGTGGGTGCACAGTGACCTGCACGGTGACCTGTGCGGCGCGTTTGCTGCCGGGCTGGGACTTGCTGCTGGTGTTTCTCTCCACTGGCTTTCGCTGTTGTGTTGTTGCGTTTGCTCTCTCTCGTTTGCCCGACCTCGCATGCGGGTTTCGCGGGGGGCTGCTGGGCATTGGGTGTCGCCGTGCTCGCGCAGTGTGCGCGTTGGGCTTGTCACTTGTGCATTGGTGTTGATGATTCCGTGGCATTTGGGCGTTTTGTTTGTTCGCTGTGCAGCGGTGGGGTGCTGGGTGGGGGGGAGCACTGGTCTATGTTTTGTGCGCGCCGCGGTCGGTCCAGGCACTGCTCTTCCGCGGGTTACGCTTCTTGCATTCCATCGGCATTGCATTGTCAACTGGCATTTGGATGGTCGTTTTTATTTATGTATTTATTTATTTTATTTTGGGGGGGGGGGTCTTCCACATTTTCCAGCAGAATTATTCCTGATGCTTTTCTTTCAGTTACTTATTTAAATTTATTGTTATTATTCGAGCTCTCGTGGTTGTGCTGTGTTGCTTATTTAGTGTGCGTGACTGTTTCTTGTTTTCATTTTTCTCTTAGTTGTCTCAGCTGTTTATTGCTGTTCGGCTGGTTGACTTTTACTATTATTATTATTTTTATTGTTTGTTTGTGTTTGTGTTTGTTTGTTTGTTGTTGTTTTTCTCCTCCCCATGCAGGTTTCGTTGCTTTCTGCAATTGGTGTTTCCCTCTGCTATTCCCTGTTGTCCCCACCTTCCATCCCCCTTCTCTTACAGGTGTTGTCCTTTCTCTGTGCTGTCTGTTTGTGCCCCCCCATCCCCATGTCTGCCCCCCTGTCCGGCCCGGTGACAAATCAATACATAATTAAATAAATAATAAAACAGACAAAGGAGTATATTTATACTCTCTTGTTAAAGTAAAATCTGTCTGGCACAATATGGTATCCAGCTCATCATACTCTATACCAGGATGCTGGGCAGGACAGGTTTAAAAAAAAAGAAAAAGATGTAAGACTTTCTCTATGTACACAAAAGGCCTATTTCTCTCAAATACTCTTCACAAATCTGTCAAAATCTGTTATTGAGCACTTCTCTTTTGCCGAAATAATCCATCCACCTCACAGGTGCAGACAGCATGGGTAGTGGCTGGCCAAAATAAAAGGCCACTGGAAAATGTGCAGTTGCATCACACAGCACAGTGCTACAGAAGTTTTGAGGGAGCTTGCAATTGGCATGCTGACTGCAGGAATGTCCAACAGAGCAGTTGCCCATGAATCGAATGTTCATTTCTCTACTATAAGCCGTCTCAGAGAATTTGGCAGTGCATCCAACCGGCCTCAAAACCACAGACCACGTGTAACCACACCAGCCCAGGACCTCCAAATCCAGCATCTTCACCTCCAAGATCATCTGAGACCAGCCACCCGGACAGCTGCTGCAACAATGGGTTTGCATAACCAAAGAATTTTGGCACAAACTGTCTGGAACCGTCTCAGGGAAGCTTATCTGCATGCTCGTCGTCCTCATCGGAGTCTCGACCTGACTGCAACTTCGCACAGCCATTGAAGAGGAGTGGACCAACATTCCACAGGTCACAATCAACAACCTGATCAACTTTATGCAAAGGAGATGTGTTGCACTGCGTGAGGCAAATAGTGGTCACACCAGATAGTGACTGGTTTCCGGACCCCCACCCGGACGTCCCCAATAGGATTGAAAGTGAACAATATTTGAGAGAAATAGGCCTTTTGTGTACATAGATAAAGTCTTTGATCTCTGAGTTCAGCTCATGATGAATGGGGGCAAAAACAAAAGTGTTGCGTTTATAATTTTGTTCAGTAAATGATTGTCTTGCTGTTTGTGTGTCACATACAGCGGTGTATTTTATTCCCATGTGGGATGGGCAAAATATTTGGCATGAAACTGAAATAAAAATGTACTTATAAACCCATTCTGACATGCACCTTGTTATGCAAATGTGGTAACAATTTTACACAAAAAATGAAAAGTCAGGATGACAATCTAATTAAGTAGGACCTATTGGTTTTGTCAGGTCCATAAAACCAAATATCCGTACAAAGATTTCAGAATTATCATATTTCATAAAACATACTGTAACAAACGTAACAAGTTGAAACTTAAATGAAATGAAAGCTGTAAAATACAGTCAGAAAGACTTTGTAAGCGGTTTTGAGTGGCAACAGATAAATTAGGCCTGTTCCAAATTAGCTCCATGACATTTTACTAATATGGAAAACAAACCATGACATGTCAGCATAACTGGTCTTGGTCTCAAGTGAGTGGTCTCGAGACTACTTTCTGATGGTCTCGGTCTCGTCGCAGACTTAACCGCATTTGTACTCAGTCTTGTCTCGGTCTTGAACATAGAGGACTCGGAATTTTATTTCAAGACCAGTCAAGACCACAACTTTTGGGAAT